TTTTTATAAAAATATCTAATAACTTTGTTTTCATAATATAATGCATATGTACTATTTTTATTTTCTAGTATAGACTTTTAACACCATATGAAATTTTTTCAAAAATGACCTGCTGGTCTATTTAAAACTCCGATGTTATAAAAACAATGACATTAATTTGTATAACCTAATTATGTTTTTTTCAAAGTACATTTAGACTACCCAAGATACTACGTATAGCGATAGTATGTTGTATTAACTAACCAATCACGAGAAAGTCTGTATGACATTTCAAGCTCGGAGATCGGATCGTGGAATTTCAATTTTTTGCCATGACTCCAGACTGATTTTTTTTTCAATTCACTTATAACATACGGACACCTTATCGAACGCTAGACTTATAGTGTCATATTTAATACTAGTAGACTATGGATAATTTTATTCCACAGATTTTTACAACTTCTGCCAGCTTGGTTGATAGTGTTGATCGTAAGTTAGGAGGGCATAATTTATTCACCTGTTACATGGTTTTGCACAACCTTTTTTTCAATGTATTTATGTATTTATTATTTTTAATAAAAAAAAAACAAATTTTGCTACTCTTTTCAAATTATTGAATTAATGGTATTGGCTGCAAAAGGGAAACTGCTAGTTGTACTTCGTGATGGACGCAAACTCATTGGTGTATTAAGGTCTTTTGATCAATTTGGTAGGAAACCATTTTCGGCTCAAAATTACGCTTGAATTTCGTGCAATCATTGTTAAAATTTAATCAATGTATATTAAACGAAACCCTTAGCAAATCTTGTATTACAAGACACAATAGAACGAATCTACGTTGGTGACGCGTATGGAGATATTCCTCGGGGAATTTTTATTATTAGAGGAGAGAATGTAGTTTTATTGGGAGAAATTGTAAAGTTTTTAAAGATTTTATTTTTCATTTTATAATTCATTGTGAAAAATTCAATTTATAAAATTGATTTATATAAATAAGGATTTAGACAAAGAAGATGAATTACCTCTCCGACAAGTACCTGTAGAGGAGATCCTATTAGCACAACGTGAGGAAATGGAAGCAAGGCAAAGGCGAGAAAAACTTAAGAATAAACTATTACATGATCAAGGATTTAGTGTTGATTTCACAGAAACAGATTTGTATTAATATATGTAGTGCGTCTACTATTAAAACTTATGCACAAAAATGTATACTAATAATATTAATGTTTTTTTATAATATCAAAATTGATAAATTGGCTATTTAATATGATTTTATTGATGGATCAATTGTTTGATTATGTCATACCATCAGTGACATTTTTATTAAATTCTAAACACACAAAGTAACCTTCAGTTGATTTATTTCGTGAAGAATGAGGTTTCTCATAACGAATCTTTTTAAACTTGGATTTCAATTTGTTTCTAAACTCAGATTCGGATTCACCCATTAAGAACTTTAGGAATAAAAAAAGAATTGATAAATCCTATGAATGAATGAATGAACTTTATGGAGTAATAGATTTGAATCATCTTACCTTGCACAAAAAAGTACCACCAGGTTTTAATACAAGTTCGGCAAAAGTCAATGAACATTCACATAATTCCTTGATACATAAAAAAATTAGCGAATTATTTTACATTAAACTAAGTGCAAGTTCACGATTTTGGTTGGCCAATGATGACGATCAAAAATTTAGGCGGCCGCCCATTAAGTGAAAATATTCCTGGGCTAATTTTACTATCAGGTCCCAACCCTAAAAATTTTCATTTTTGGAATTAAAAAAAAATCAAATACGGCCAAGTTGTGTATAATGCGGGCCAAGATTTTGTCACTGACCAATCAAAATCGAGGATCTGCCGCGCATTTTTGTGCGGCACCTAGGTTTAATTTAATATACCATTGATCTAACGTGATCCACGAAATGATTTCCAGTAAAATTAGGTGCCATATCATTAAGTATAACATCAACATGCCTTTTGTTTAATAAATCAAAAATTTTTTGCTGAGTCACTAATTCAGTAAAGTCGCCTTGTATAATTTTTACACCAGTTATTGGATCAATGGGCAATAAATCAACAGCTATTATTAAGCTATTATCAACATTCACATCCACATCTACATTCTTTGATGGAAATATTTTACGAGAAATATATTGACACCAACTTCCGGGTGAAGCACCACAATCAACAATTACGGAATTAGGCGTAATGAGATTGTATTTATTATCTAATTCCTGTAGTTTATATGCACTACGAGCACCTAGTACAATAAAAACGGATAAGTATCAATTAGTATTTAATTATAAAAGTGTAAAAAGTGGTTAAATATTTACGAAAATTATCTTGGGCAGCCTTTTTTACATATTTATCTCGTATTTGCCTTGCAATCCATCGTTTTGAAGATGTAGTAGTATAATAACATTGCTGATAATATTTGAACATTACTTATTTCAAGTCCGAAGAAAATTTTAAATTCAAATTAGTATGACGAAAGTTCAGTTTTATTGCCTGATTAGAAAGATCTTTGATTGGCTAAAACTAGAAATTAATTTTATATTGTTGCACCTGATTAGCAACTGTGATGAATAATATCGCCTGAGGTATTTACCAGTGAAAGATATCTGAACATTTTATTTAATTTTATGTTCTTGTAAAAATTTTATTGTTCTTAATGATAAAAAATATATATATCAAATTATAAATTTTATGTTCTTAGTTGATTCTCAAAAGAGAACATAATTTTTAAATATATCAAACACTGGCCTTATAACTATTTCCGAATCATGTGATATTACTCATCACATAGTTTGGGACTAGTTACAGTCTTATAGCCATAACTACATTACTTCTATAGTTGCAGCAAGTTACGGTAATGTGGCGACTATCATTGGGATGATTCTACCGCATCACTATTTGGGACGTCCCGAATAGTTTGGGCAATATCGCTACACCCGATGCTCTTTATGTATTTGATAATCCTTATCATAGCATAACTTGCTCACGAAATCGAATCTGTACTTCAAAGAAATATTTCGATTTAAAAGTTAAAATAAGTAGTGGGTATTGTTAAATTGTGTCTAATTGAAGTTGTCTTCTGATCTGTTAAAACATATGCTTACTACAAATAATATGCACCAAGTGATTGTCAGTAAAACCTCATCGATATAATTTTATAATTTTAGGTTAGAAATTCTATTGAAAGATCGTGTAACGATGTTTTTTCCGTTATGCCGTCGGGTTGATCTGAACGACCCGAAACTGACCCAGTTGTAATAAATTTATTGTATGAGTCATGACCAAAATAATTAGAAGCACTATGCTAAACTTTTGGAGAATATTTTATGCAATAAATTAAATTAACGGAGTTCCGAAATTAAGCCCCCTTTTTTTGCATGTAGTGCTGGTCAAAATTATCATAATGCAGGCCAAAATTGACGTAGTTCAGGCCAAACAGTACGGTATTTAAATAAAGGATCAATTCCGAAAATACATACCATATTTTAGGAAAATAATGTATATGACGATAAGGATGTACTATTAAAACTTACCGGTTTAGTCTAGTAGCTTAACCTGGGAATAAAAATTTGATCGTGTGGGCAGATTGTCTTTTTTTTTAAAAAAAAAATACTTTAACTTTCACAGCTCATATCAATGAATTTTGAAGCTACTTTAATGATTCAATAGTCAAAAAGAAAGCTTAAATCTCAAGTATTCTTTGAATATAAATAATTGAATTAGCCTAAAATTCATTGAGATAGGGTACGTGTCATTTCATCGACAATCAATTCACCGACATCCCATTTCACCGACAATCAATTCGCCGACAAGTTTATTTCACCGACAACTATTTCGCCGACAGCCCATTTCACCGACTAGGTTTTTTTTAAAGTTGCACTAACATTAACTCTAATTCCAACTGACCCTAACGAAAATGACTGTCGGTGAAATAAACTTGTCGACGAATTGACTGTCGTTGAAATAGGCTGTCGTTGAAGTGATTGTCGGCGAAATGAGCACCACCCTCTGCACCATTTATGAATTAAACGAGTCAACAAGAAAAAATGCTGATTACGATTCTGAATGAATTCATGCTCTATCGCTATTGTATGTCTTAAATATTACTGATATTTGTTTCGCGTGACGTCATTTGCAGATTGACATTTTAAGAAAAATCAATACCTTTAATTTCACAGCCCATATCTCAGCGGGTGGTGCTCATTTCGCCGACAATCACTTCAACGACAGCCTATTTCAACGACAGTCAATTCGCCGACAAGCTTATTTCACCGACAAAGTAATTCTGGTCATTTTCGTTAGGGTCAGTTGGAATTAGAGTTAATGTTAGTGCAACTTTAAAAAAAACCTAGTCGGTGAAATGGGCTGTCGGTGAAATAGTTGTCGGTGAAATAAACTTGGTGAAATGACACGTACCCGGTGCAGAATGATTTATAACTGGAAACAGGTACTGTTGTAAATCCGGAGCGAATTAAAAAAATTGTCCAACCATTTTTATGATTAGTCACGTGGGCGGACAGGTGGACAAATTTCTGCTCAGGCCTCCAGACAGACGGACGGACAAAATGTTGCTAATGACTTGAAGACTTGAAATGTAAGTCCTCCCGGACAATAAATATCATCTTGAAATATTGGTAGGTGGGAAACCGTTAAAAGAATATACGAAAGTAGTCTCTGAAGAATTTAAAAATTTAGGTAGTACATTGTTATTCTCCGAGGAGAGTCGTACGTATAAACCTGTTAAATTTCTTATTAGGGTAAAAACAGATCGCTATCATATTTCATTGACGAAACAGGAACTAAAGTAACAAAGTAATCAAATCTAAAATTATATATATATTTATTTAAGTGAAACTGATTAAAATTTGGTCCACCAGTGGCAGTCATGTGTATGCCAAAGTCCAAAAGCCTGGAGACATATATGAAGCGAAGATTGAGTCAAATGCAGCAAACGCGTGGAACCACAAATATATATCAATGGATACACAGATAATTCACAACACATCATGTTATCCAGTGAATCGAAAACGCAGAATACGTTTAGTAGTACAACGGGGACACGAAATATTATTTTAAATTTAGAAATTTCACAATATCAGAATAGAAAGGGCTGTTATCCTGGAACAGTATCAGCGGCATTTTACCTTGCCAGATTTGTGGAAAACGATATGTCAACAATTCTTGATTTCATATTAACGTCACAAGATGTTACTATTGATTCCAAGAAACTTAGTAGAATACCAAAATCTTCTGATAAATCAGAAGAAAAGTTATTATCACCATTAAATTATGAGAAATTTAAAATGGGTCTATAGTAGTTCTTCATCTGAATTATCGACCAGCACCTTGGTTTTCGGACGAACTCGAAAAATTAACATTAAATGAAGACGATTATAGAGAGGAATCCAATTACGAATGTTAAATTTGATTCACCAAGAGCATAGAAAAGAAATTGTTGAAGAGATTCTACATCTACAAGATTGGTTAGATCAAGATATTATTCTGATAATTAAAGAATTTTATATTAAGCTTAAAGAATACTTATTCAAGTGGAAAAATTATTCATCATTTTCATCTTCGGCGGAAATATCTGTTGAAAATGAATGAAAAATTATTAGAGATCACTATTATTCAAATTATCCAAGTTATGTATATTTTTAGGAAATTTATTGCATGCTTTGATTTACAATACTTACAATCGATAGTTAAATTGATAGTTCTTCAATCTATTGCTGTGCAAACTTAGATAACTTAGATATTCGTTAATACACGATAATTTAATTTATAGCATGTGAATTTACATGTCGCCAGTTGTCGTCATTGTAACAATAATACAATACGGTCTGAGATGGACACTAATGTCAATTGAGGTGCGTCTATAAATATGTAGAATTCTGATTAGTCAAAATTAAAGATCTTGTCACATTATAACTGTACCGGTACGTACGTGAGGTTTAAAAAGAGAATCAATGTTTAATTATTGATTTGTTTAAAAAATGAAATATTATCATCTGGGCAACATTACTTAGTACATGAGTTACCACTTTATTAGTAAAGTTTGGGTGATTTGTGAAGAAATTTGGCAATTCCGGCTTATTCCGACCCTGAATTTCGGTCGATCTATTCGTCTATGCCAAGAAATCAAAAAATTTAGGTATCAATTAGATGAAAATCCTATTTCTATTGTGCAACAGTACTTTCAATAGAAATAACCGACCAATAAAAATAAACTTCAATTGATTATATAGGTAAAATAACTTTTTTCTTTAAAAATACGACATATGCAAAAATCTGCATTTAGAGAGCAACTGCATTTAAAATACGATAATTTTTTTGTGTTTGTGATCAAAAGATAGAGAACTTTAAACCTGCATTAGAGGAAGATAACTTTAGTAATAAATAATACTGTATGTACTGTATGTAGTAGGTTATTTCTACATAATAAATTTCAAAAAAAAAAAGCTATTACTTGAGATTTTTAAACGTAATTAATTTGCATAAAAAAAATTTTTTTTGAATTTACAAACAAGTTTTTTAGTTGTAAAATTTACTTTAACCACTTAAGCTAAAACAATGCAAAAGTGTCATAAAAATATATGGTCTATTGTCATGAGACTCAACAAATTCGCCGATCGGACCATAAATCTTTGGTATACTTACCATTACGTGTATTTGAATCTGAAGATCTGCGAGACTGAAGCCTAGAACTTCCGCGCCGTTAATTCATTTTAATGGTCAATTATCCTTTAAAGAAAGCCGTTTAGGTATATCAATAAAAAAATAGGTTGCGAAAATAATTGTTCATTAGTTATATATAGCATTTCACTGTATGCGAGTTACCGTATATTATATCAATAATTCGGCTATAAACGATAGATCATTCGACACTTTGGTCATCATACCAAGTGTGTATATATCAAATATATATACAATATATACGGAATAAGATATGCTTCTTAGTGCAATATCTTTTCTTGTTTCGGCATTTATTTGCCTTGACCTTCAATATAGTTCTTAAAAAAAATATGTAAAGTTATTTCGTTGTTACACTGTACTCTGTATTTATAATTACAATAATAAACCAACTCGAATATACTACTTTTGTACTCTTTTGTACTTTTCTTTTTTGAAGTTTCCGCACATAATCTATATTAACAACAAAAGGTCATTTCGCCAAACTACAAACATTTGTAGAATCCATGCGCTTTGAGCATTATAGGGAGAGCTCATTTGTTGCATTTATTTAAACTATAGCTGTTTAGTTCGGTTTTACCTCGTTATCTCTTAAAGAAGTTCTTTAGCGAAAAACACTAGCCCTTTTTATTTTATAAAGATTTAGTTGTTTCCTTCTTTGAGCATACTGTTTTGTACAATAGCTTTTATAACGCCGACGGAATTTATTTAAATTTACTTTTGGTAAATTATTTAAACCGAAAGTAAGTATCTTTGAATGCTCGTACCATTCTAACATTTAAAATACAAATTGCTATAAACTTAATATTTGTTTCATTTAAACTGAAAAACCGAAACATTAATTTTTTTTTTTCAATATCTTAAAAGAAATTAACGGACATTAACGGACATTAAAATAATATTAATATATATATATCTATCTTTGTCTATATATATAATACTAAATTTTTCGAAAACAAAAATATCGTCTGTAATACAACAAAAGAACAATGGGTAATAATTCTTCCAAGAAACGTTTCTCCCTGAACATACAAAGCCAATCTAAAATCAATGAGGGTTCTATAAATGACAAGGAAAGTGCGAAAGACTTGAAAGAGAATGGGAATGGATATTCTCATTATACTGGCTCTCTTAATTCACTACCAAGGAACCTCTTATCTGTTGATACTAATAACTCTCAAAGTAATATGTCACCTAATTCAGAAGAAAGTTCTCCGATCTCACCATCTTCACCTTCAACACCAATGGAGAGAATTCTCATGCGAACAAATGAAGACAATAATGAACTTTCTTTAAACGGTCTTAATACTCCTGTCACCCCCACTAATGGGAGTATTCCAAATTCTTTTACCAGGGATCGTCCAAGATCTTTCGACATTGATGATATGATACGACGTTTAATCAACGCTGGTTCTTCTAATAAAGTTTCTAAAACAGTATGTCTCAAAAATAATGAAATAAATGCAATCTGTCAATCTGTTCGAGAGATATTTTTATCACAACCAACCCTTATTGAGCTTTCACCCCCTGTTAAAATTGTCGGTGATGTTCATGGTCAATATTCTGATCTTTTACGTTTATTTGAAATGTGCGGTTATCCTCCTATGGCTAATTATTTATTTTTGGGTGACTACGTGGATCGTGGGAAACAAAGCTTAGAAACTATTCTTTTATTACTTTGCTACAAAATTAAATTTCCTGAAAATTTTTTTTTGTTACGGGGGAATCATGAATGTGCTAATGTAACTAGAGGTAAATGATTTTATACCAACTTTGTTTGTCACTTATGTGACAAATGTTGCATAAATTTATATTTATTACATCAACTTTAAATGTCACTTTTGACTATGTTGTTGCATAAATTTATGTCTTATAATCTTTATACCTGTTATCCGAAGGATAAACCATTTTTAAAATAATATGTTTCATATCATTTAAGTTTATTTCGGGTAACGGGTATACAATAAGTCCAATTAGAAATTATTTTAGAGAATATCAATTAATTAATCATATAAAATTTTAATCATTTATAATTTTTAATTAATTATGTTTACCTTTTTTTTCTTTTTTTTTCTTACGTAAGTTTATGGATTCTATGATGAATGTAAACGTAGGTCGAACGTCAAAACATGGAAAACTTTTGTCGATGTATTTAATTGTATTCCTATCGCGGCAATTGTAGCCAACAAAATATTTTGTGTACACGGTGGACTATCTCCATCACTCAGTTCTATGAATGAAATTAGGGGTATTCAGCGTCCTACTGATGTGCCAGACAATGGTCTTCTTAATGATCTTTTATGGTCTGATCCATCAGAAACAGCTGTTGACTGGGAGGACAATGAGAGAGGTGTTAGTTTTTGTTTTGGAAAAACTATTATCCGTGAGTTTTTGGAACGTTATGATTTCGATCTTATATGCCGTGCACATATGGTAGTAGAAGACGGTTATGAATTCTTCAATGAAAGGACATTGGTTACTGTATTTTCTGCTCCAAATTATTGCGGTGAATTTGATAATTACGGGGCTGTGATGAGCGTAAATGAGGAGCTTTTATGCAGTTTCGAGCTTCTTAAACCACCTGATGCGAAGCAACAGCAACAGTCAAAGACAAAGAAGCGACCTAGGTACTTTGGATTTGTGAATTTTTATCATCTCAAATTTACTAATTTATTTATTTATTTTATTAATAGTATTATCGGTCCTCACAGTCCGCCTGTTCCGGGCGTTCCCCAGTCGGTATAATCATATAGATATATACGTCTTAATATTATTATATTTGTTTAACCAACTCGCTCATTTGTTTACCAACACCATTATTTTAATGCCTATGCTTTACAAACTTTTTTATTACTACTGTGACATTAAAAAACATTTTTTCCTTCCCAAATGGAAATACAATTGGATATATATATATATGTTGTATTCTACTCATGAGAGAAAATCATGATATCATAATTATTTTTTCCTCATACTTCCTTTGATATGATTTTTATTATGAACTTATTTCTCAAAGAAAAGAAACCAATGATTTATTTTTATGATGATTTGTACATAGAGTACTTAAAAAAAAAAAACCAAAAAAAAAAAAAAAAATAGCAATTGGAACTTTTAAAAATATGTATTTTGGGGGTTTACTTGGTCGAGAAAATATGAAAATTTTAATTTGTGGGGTGGGTGGAAATTATAATCACCAGTTACACTAAAAATTAGGTTACCTCGGCCCTAGAACTCTATAAAACATTTGTATATATTGTGTAACAATGCATTTGAAGTATAGAAATTTGTTCACGTAATTTATTATCAATAAATAGGTTACCATCCAGAACCATAAGCTTAATCAATGCATATTATGATAAATATCAAAGTTATCATTAGATTTTTAAACTTCATTTGTATATCGTTATAATTAAAAATCTGATAATCATAGGATCACGAGATTTTAATTCGTCATAACGATAATATTCTTACCTTATTATTCAAGACATCTCATGAGCTGATGATCAGACTTGCGCCATCCGATTTTCTCGCAAATCCGATCTCTTATAGTTAATTATTAAAATGAATAAAAATACCCCACTTTTCTATTATAGCTAAATTAAGCATAGCAATAGATTTTGTAGAAAATTTTTTACCTTAATACATATTTCTCGGAATCCCGTTTTCGCATATCTTGCGCCATGAATTTATCATATGAGTGCATGAGAATGAAAACATGTAGTAAATCATCACCACTCATATTTGGTAGGTAACCTTCACATATAAGAAAATTCACTATGATTTTTGCTAATAAATTCGCAATTGAAATTTTTACAGTATATATAACGACGATAATATAAATTCACAATTGATAGGATCTATATATTACCGTTTGTAAATGGCGCATACCGTTAGGTAAATATGTAATTCGGTAAAAATTTTTCCCTCAATCTCCTATTGTTTCAATTATGCAAAAAAAAAGATCAGATCGAAGATCACATTTACAATCACCTGATTATCGTTAGATTGCAAACTACCAACAGGTTATAGAAGCCCGGGTAACTTATTTATACACTTTAGAGTACTTTTTGAAACCATAACGTTTCACTAGTTATATAAGTTATTCAAAGTTCAAATGAGCATTAAGATTTATCTTGCAAAAGGAATTCAAGTTTTGAAATACTTTACTTATAAGACAATTATGTTTATTATTAGATAAAGTTGATCTAATTGTTGTTAAAGCTAAAAGTAAATAATTTGAAGTTGATCTAACTGATAAAGATAGAAGAAAATAATAAGAGCCTAAAATTTTTTTTTGATAAATTGTATTTTTTATTTAAAAAATAAAACTTTATAAACACAAATAACAAAGCAACTTTTATTTATATATTATTTTTTGTAAAATTAGAAATAAAATATTTATTAATAATATTATAAGAGATTTGATAATATATTGTTATAGGTAAAAGTCTTTTTAATTTCATACTATAATAATGATACAGCACAAAGAATCTTTTAAGAGTATATATAGTATTCAAGAGAAAAGTATAGCTTCTATTTTGATATTATTAAAAAATTATATTCTTCTTTAAAGCAGTTTAGAAAAGATAATATAATAATAATAATTTTATTTCAATTACTAAGAAAAAAATAAATCTTGTTATAAAAATTACTTTAGAAAGAGAGTATTAATACAGTTTATAGTCAAGAGTTATTTATTAATATAATTACAAGAAGAGTTATTCTTAGGTTTCTGTTTTTAAAAAATCTTAAATATATTATATATTTATAATATTAAAAAAAAAGATATATCAACTTAATAAAATAAATAAGTTATCAATTCCTCAAGTAATAGGTTATAAGTTCAAAATCTACTAATAATAAAAATTTAAATAATTATCTATATAATATATTAGATTATAATAATAACATTTTATTAATCAGTTAAGATAAGATATTTGTAATTATAGTTATATTACCATAACTGATAGATTATAAAGTATCTGTATAATCTTAGTTATATAGAGAAATATAAATCAGTACTAAGTAATGCAAATCTAAGATAAATCTTTATGATTATATATATATAAAATTAAAAAAATTAAAGTTCATTTAGAAAGACCTAATTAAAAAAGTAATATGAATTTTTAATAATATTATTATAAAAACTAAAATTAAAAAATAAATATTAATTAAAAAAATAATAAATATGAATTTTTAGATAAAAGATATTATTAATTAAGAATAGAGTTAACAAAAAAAAAAAAACTTTTCTTATTAATCTTTAGTTTTAAAGCAGAGCACAAACAAAGCATAAAATATAATCAAAACAAAATAGTAAACAGTTCTTGAGCCCTTAAGAAAAAAGTGTTTATGTTCAAAAATATATAAACAATAGTAGAAGTGTAATACTAAAAAATATATCTTTAACAAACTAAACTTGTTTTTAGAAAATTTTTCTTTTTTTTTAATATAAAACTTGAAAGTTTAAGAAATCATAATTAACCTTGAAAAATAGAAAGAAAATATATAACTAACTAAATAACAACCATAAACAACAAACAACAAAGTCACATTCCTAATTAGAAAATAGATAGATAAACTAGTAGTAAATAGTAGCATAATGCAAAGTGCATATGAACAACTTAAAGAAAAATTGTACAAAATAAAAACTCAACAAATAGATCAAATAAATCAGACTAATGACACAGACATTATATACTACATTAAAGAGACAGGTGATAAAAATCAAAGATATTTAAATTCTGAATTGTTGAATCAAATTTTAACAATGTCTGCAAAAGAATCAAGCAATGTAGAACACATAGCAAAAAACCTAATAATAAACAATTCAAATCATATTACATTAAATGATATACTACTTTATGGACAAATTCTTAAAGTCTTAAATTTAGCAGAATTAAGTTGACTCAGAGAAGATATAATAGATGAATAGGTACAAAAACTTAGACTGATAAATCAGAACCCAAAGTTAGCTGAATATATTACAAATATGAATAAAGAAGAAATACTTAAAAAAGAAAGAAAAATAAAAAGAATAGAAAAACTAAATAGCATGAAAAAAATGCAAACATCAATAATAAAAAAAAGACATCAAAATGTAATAAGAAAAGAAATACTTTAAGAAAAACCAACCCAAGTGATAAATGAAATTATTGGTCAAATAGATAAGCTTAACATTAATATATTACAAGATATACAACAAAAAAGTTCTTTATCAAGCACAAACCAAACTCCTATAAACAAATCAAATAAAACAGAAAAAACAAAATGAAAAAAAATAAAGAAAGACACAGAAGCTCTAAAAGATAATATGATCCAAAATATTAAAAGAAATATAGAAAATATTAACAAAAAAATAATGAAATTAAAAGAAGAAAATATGATCTATGAAGATCCAATTTATATTAACACAATTGAGCATAGCCAAATGTTACCAGAAAATAGAGTATATAACAAGAACATGTTTTTTAAGTCAAACATGCCTGCATATATTTTGCTAGGCAAACAAGTGATAACAAAATAAAATATGTGCAATGGATCTTGGGCAAAAACTATCATATTAAAGCAATTAAAAAAGTTTTTAAGAATGAAAACTACTAGGTAGAAGTAGACTTTGATTGCGAATATAGTTAAGATGCAACAATAAACAGAATTCAAGAAAAGTAAGGTGAATAGCTCAAGCTTATTCAAGAAAAAGAGAGAAACAAAGAATCAAAACTCAAACAACAAGTCAAAAATAACAAAAAAAAAAAAACCAACTCAAAAAAGAAGAATATAAAAAGAAAAAAGACTTGTTTACAACAAAAAATAAAATTAATTTATATCTGTTTTACAATATGGAACTTATCTGTGAACATCAATGTAGAGGAAATCAAGCATATATGTAAAAGCTTCAAAAAGATACAAATAATAAGCATTAAAAGATCTAAATACAAGACATTAGCAATAGTTCAAACAGATCAACTTACTAATAAGAACATTCTGTGAACTTTGTTAATTAGTATTTATAAGTTGATAAGAGTAACCAAAGGTAATGAAAATTACATTCAATATGATCTTTAAAACTTGTTCACAACAAGACTAACAGAACTCCTAGTCAATGCTTCAGAAGTATTGCTACTATGCTGCTCAAAAAACAAGAAAGCAAAATCAGTTTACATATCATCTAACAGAAATAAAAATCAAAGAAGAGCAGTAACAATCACCTTTGCATCAAAAGAAAAAATGAAAACAACACAATCCAAACCAATAAGATTTAACAACCACCTTCTATATTGAAAAAACTTTTAGAAAAAGTGAAATAGAAAGAAAGAAGATAATAACAGTTAAAGACATCCAAATACAGAAGATATATATATTAACATAAATAAAGAAGAGCAGAAGGTTGATAAAAGAAAAATGACTAAAAGAGAAAACAACAAAAGCAAAGATGGTAGTCAAATAAAACAAACAGAAAAAGATAATCTCAAACTACAAATACAAGATTTGCTTCAAAAAATCTTAGAAAAATTAGACAGACTCGAAGTTCAACAAAACAAATCAATAGAAAAAATATAGCTAGAAACAGAAAATGGCCTAGCTGATTACTCCTAAGGGCACCTCAGTTGAACTAATAAAAACAGATGAGGAGCTTAAAGGTTTTCTACAAAGAGAAAAAAAAATATTTGAGAAAAGCATAACTCTTCACCAAAAAGAAAAAAAAACCAAAAAAAGAAAAAAAAAGAGCAGAAAATATA